CGAGGGGCAGCACGCCCCATACCCCTTGCCCTATCTCAGGTCACTCCCGTCTCGGCGTCGCCCTCTGGCACGCCTGGTCGCCTGTCTGTGCCGCACCCCCCCAGCCCCAGCCCTTCCCCTCCCTTGCCTTCCCCTGGCTTCCTGCCTCCCGCTCTCCTGCTCCTGCCCTTTCCTTTCACATCCCTGTTTCTTGCATAGACAGACCCCCGTGGTCTTCCGCACTTTCTGCTCTACTTAGACTCCTCACCACCGCCCGTTTTTCCTTTCCAAGGGACTTCTCTTATTTCGCAGCTGCCCCCTTAACGTTTTCCATCACCACCATCTTAAGACCTGCAGGTGCTTGGCAGATCCTGTCTCTGCTGGGCTGCCCATGTTTTCCAGCCCGGTTCCTGCTCCCAACGGCTGGTAATGACCCCTGTGCGCCCCCCAGGAGCAAGTCCCTCCCAGCTCACCTCCCCATCCCCATCCTCCTGCCAAGGTCATCCCGAGGCTGCAAAAATGTTAGTGTTGGCACAAAGACAGGGTGAGGAACGTGTAATGTGGGATACTAGAGAGTGGGACGCAGCAGCTCAGGCTTATTAAAGTGACCCTGGGACTACCTTCAATCTGTTTTTACTTGAGGATTAATATTTAAGGATGCAGGAAGCTGCTTGACATGTAATATGATCTTGCTCAAAAGTTTCACTTCGTAACAAAACAAACAGGTACTTAAATAGTAGATGATTAAGTAATGTGCTATTTACAGCCTGAGCAAAAGTCATGTTCAGTATTTATCACATCAAGGGAACATTTTATTCTATAATGTAAAAAAAATCTGTGCAATTATTTTGCAGTCTTTGTGCAATAGATTGGTATCATGTTTCTGAGGATGAAATGTATATGAACAACAGTCCTGAGATCCCACACAGGCAACCCGAGACCCCACAGAGGCAACCTGATTTATATCAGTCGAGACATGTAAATAGAGAGAGGGCAGCATTTGGCCCATCACCATCCGATGGGACTGGGATGGATGCTGCAGCCTTTGCGTCATTTACCGATCTAAGAGGGATTTCTACCCGAAAAAAAGAAACTGCAAATCTGCACTATCAGATCAGAGAGGCATTGCAGTGAAATCTGTGGCAAGTAAACCTCAATCAGATCGAAGCAAACTGTTCTCTGGGCAGCAAAGACCTGCGTGGCCACAGCCAGGGGACTGAGTGCTGTTCTTATAATTTCAATTAACATTGTTCATAGGCAGTAACATTTTCATTAGGCAAGAAGAGAAGGATAAGCTTTCCCATTTTGGGGGGAGCTACATGAACTACAGAATGGGAAGAAATTTCACAGCTTTTCACAATGAAGGCTTTGACCTGCTGAAATCAAGGTGGACAGTCCCTAGCGGAAGCAGCACAGGGATACAGAGGTATTTAGATGTCAAAGGATGCAGTTAATTTGATACCATATGGGATTTTCAGAAGGACCAATGGACTCTCAGAACTTAGGTTCCTAATTGCTTTTGAAAATCCTTCTGGGAACTTGATTATGTCTTGGCATTTAAATACCTAAAAAAAATAAAAATCTGCTTCTTGGTCCTTAGCCAAACTTTCTGTCTGCTTATCCTGGCCTTTATTTAAGTGATGAGCCAGGCAGTGCAATGGGTAGTGGCTTGTTTGGGTACTGTCTCTGCTGCTCCAAAAAGGGGAGATGATACTAGGATGGATGCAGCTTTGCATTCATTATTTTTTTTTAATGCAGCATCTGTCTTCACTGGTTAGCAGCTAAGCTTCACCTGGTCTCACAGATGAGGTATTTCTCTGTCATTGATGCAGACATTCAAAATAAGTTATCACTTGGGGGTGCGTTTTCATGCTATGTTATCAGCTCAAAGAAACTTATCAGAAGTGAAGGGGAAACTGTGTGCATCTCCTGACCTTCCCATCTCAAACAGGCACCAGGAAACTCAGTCTTATTAGTTTTCCTTGGGAGGGGGTTGACCTTTTGTGATTTCCAAACAATTCCAGTCCCACAAACCTTTTAAAAATAGCTATTCAGAAGTCCTAATGGCAAATATGGTATTTCTATGTAATAAAGAGATGGCTCCTGTGACAAAGATTTTACAACCGAATATAAGGTGAAAATTTGTTGTAGTTGTTGTTTATTTAATACTAGATTAATTTCATGTGAGTCACAGGGTTATTCATGGGATGACATCCATTTTTCGGCTATCAAAATAAGTTCTACATCAACAATAAGTAATTCCTTGTAAGTGAGAGACACCTTGGAGTATAAGTTAGGTATTTGGATAGAACAGAACTGTTTTATATTTTATCTACATTTTATCTAAATAACATAAATATTTTACATTTAATCTTAGTTAGGGGCACCTTGGAGTGTAAATTAGGAATTTCTATTGAGCAGAAATATTTTATATTTTATCTAAATGCAAACTCTGATAGAACAGGTCCTGGCACAAATCCATTCTTACACCAAGCAACAGATGAAGCAAGCAAAGGGAATACAGGATCAGTGGTTACATAACACAGTCAAATTTGTCTTGGTCTGTGCATGCCATGCTTTTTGGTCTTTTGGGTTTTTTTGCTGGTGGTGTTGCACTCTCCTGTCCTGACCAGTGCAGGCAAGACAGATCTCATGTGGCTCATCACAACATTTTGTTCTATGTCAACTGCAGGGATTTAACAAAAAATAGAAAATAGTTCTAATTTGGGGCGTGTGTGATATTTTTAACTTGCTATCAGTAGGCAACCAGAGAGCAGTAATTACATGAGCATAAATTTATGGGAGTTGGGAATAACAAAACAAAGCATTAAGTACTTCTGTGCATGTTTGTGCTTGAGAATGCTTCTGCTGGGCCACGTTTGTTGTGTGTGGAGGGAAAAAAAAAAGAAAGCAAGAGAAGTCTCATCTTCAGCAAGGTTGCTACACAGCCAATTTTTTTTTTCGAAGGATCCCATGTTGTTGAATCCACTGCACATAGTCCTGCCATGCTGTGTGTGTGCAGTAGCTCCATGGCTCATGTGGGCAAATTATTTCTTTTTAAAATTAACCACCATAAATTTCAATAACAGCTTGACCCTTTTTCTCCCCCTCCCTGTATTTTTTTTTCCACTGGCTTAATCTCCTGTTGGAGAAATGTCAGTCCATGAAATAAAGGGGGGGACATTGCAAATTCACACCTCCCAAGAGAACTTTTTCAGGCTATTTACTGAGCCAGAAAGGCAACACATCATATATTTATGGGCTTTGTATTTGAAAGTTTTCTTCAAAGGCATGAAATCAATTTACTGTTTGGGCTTAATAAATGTCATCTGTACGTGTGAGTGTACATGTATATGGAAAGGTTAGTATTCCTAGATATGAGTGTCTTATGTAGCTAAGCAGGATCGAGGTGGAGGTCCGTTATGGGACTTGCTCGTTTGTGATTAGTTTATATCCTAATAGCCATCAAAACTAGCACATTAAAATCTTAATTAAAAGATTATTAGGAAATGAAAAATATTACCCACTTTTTAAAATTCTCTTATACAGCATGGAAATAAATCATAAAATCTAAAACATTTACAGTTTACAGAATCATACAATGGTTTGGATTCGAGGGGATGTTTAAAGATCATCTAGTCTAACCCCCCCGCCACTGGCAGGGGCACCTTCCACTACATTAGGTTGCTCAAAGCCCTGTCCATCCTGATTTAGACTAGATGATCTTTTAACAGATGCAGAGCAAAGATGCAGTCACCAAAGTACCAAACAAGAGAGGAGGAAAGCATTTTTACTGTTATTTTCCTATTTTATTGGTGTTTCTTTTGTTGTTTTTTTTTTAAACATGGGGAGGAGATGGGGGATGGGAAAGAAGAGCTCACAGCACGTGTGGCTATCAGCATAGTTACTGTTGATGCCAGGAGACGGAAGGGGTGAGCCTGCAGGAGGGCCAGGTGTAGAGGCTGGGCCTCCCAGTTAAGAGCAGGTGCGGCGGCTGGGCTGGGTGCTCCTGCAACACTGGGAGCTCCTGCGATGTGGTTGCTGCCATGGCATCGTGGAGGGGAGGCCTGGCACAGTGTGGTGGTGCCAGGGGAGCCGTGCTGGACGTGGATCCACCTCCATTGGTTCTTCCTGACCTTGGAGTGGATCCACCTCCATCGGTTCTTCCTGATTTTGGGGTGGATCCACCTCCATGGGCTCCACACCATCAGCCACATGGTACATGTGGCTGATGGTGCCCTCCGTCTGAAGCTTCCTCCTCTTCCCGTGAAGTTCCTGGAGCCACGTGTCTTCTCTGTCCTGGTGCAGAGATGGGCAGCCACACACTGTGCTCTTGGACCTCTTGTTTCCAGGCATCTTGGAACCTGAGGGCCTCGGAGCTCAGCAAACTGTGGGCCAGCTGCCAGGGTGCCTGTATTTACAGAGCCCACGTGGCAGCAAGGTGGATTGTGACATCAGGAGGCCACTGTGATGCGTGTGACCAAAGATGGCAGTTCTGGGAGCTGGAGGGCCTGTGGCCTGAAAGATGGCCGCAGGTGGGAGAAGGAGGAGGGTCAGGGGACTGAGGGCCCCTTTCCTGGGAATCGTTCCTCTGTGCCATTCTGCTGGCCCTTGGGCACAGGGACTGCCCTCCACCTCCCCTCGTGTGCCTGGGCTCCTCTGGACGAGATGGCAGCAAGGGTGTTGCAGGAGGGTCAAGGATCCCTCAAAGGGATTGAGATAGACCCTTGATAGACCCCTCTAGAAGTGCGTTTGCCCCCCTGCATCTAGGGATGTGTGTGCGATTTAACATGAACAGTCTTACTAGAAAAGGACCTTCCAAAACTACTGCCTGGTAGATGACAGCAGGATGATGGCATTTGTCCTCCAAAGCGGCTGTGCCTGTCTCTGGTAAAGACAAGACGTACTGGAAAACAGAGCTCGAAAACGCACTTGAACTACAACAAACAAGGTGTTGCGCAAGTCTCTCTTTGGTAAGATTTGGGCACGTCAGTTGCAGAGGACAGTGCCACTAAAGGATTTCTGAACAATTCAGGGATACCAACCTTTTTTACAAAGGTGGTTCTAGGATAGTATCCCACAACGCTGAAGAGACGAACTTCTCCCAAAAGCTTATTATAATCGCATCGAGCAGGGTCAGCTAAACCTTTCAAGGGGCATTGAAGTGTTCTTTGGAAGAAGACTCAGCTCCACTGCGCTTCCCTTTGTCAATTATTACAAGGCCCTGCTGTCTTTCTTTGGGCAAAGTGTGTGTCAATTTGCAGATTCTCCTTACAATAGCAAGATCTGGTCTTCTAGACTTCTCTAAAGCAGCTTGATTTTTTGCAACCTGAAGCAATTGAAGCTTGGTGCAGTATAGTGAAGTATAGGATCATTTATATATTTTTTTCAACATATCTTCTAGGAGGATCTGTTCCACTATCTTCCCAGGCGCAGAGGTGAGGCTGACTGGTCAGTATTTCCCATGGTCCTCCTTTTTACCTTTTTTTAAATGGGTATATGGTCCCCTTTTTTGCATTTCAAATGAGTTTACCTGATTTCCGTGACTTTTCAATATGAAGGAGAGTGGCTTGGCAACCACATCAGCCAGTTCTCTTGGGACTCTGTGATGGATCTCATCGGATCCCAATGACTTATGTACACGATCAGGTTCCTCAGGCTATCTCAAACCTGATCTTCACTTATGATGGGAGGGACTTCATTTGCCCAGTCCCTGCATTGAGGTTGAGGGGCTTGAGCGATGTGGGAAGAGAGATTACAATTGAAAACTGACACACAAAAAATTTTGAGTACCTCATCCTTCTCCATGTCAGTTGTCACTATTTCTCCTGTCTTGTTTACTGAGTGCTGGTGGTACATTTTCTTTAATCTTCCTTTTATGCCCAACATACCTGTAGAAGCCCTTCTTAGTATTCTTCACATCCCTTGCCAAATTAATCTCCAATTAAGCATTAGCTTTCCTGGTTCCATCCCTATACATCCAGGCAGCATCTTTGTATTCTTCCCAGGATACATGTCCCTGGTTTCATGTCCTGTGCATTGCCTTCTTACACTTTAGTTTGACCAGGAGGTCCTTACTCTGCCATGCTGGTCTCCTGCCTTCCTTTCCTGAGTTCTTACATGTGGGAATTGAGAGCTCTTGTGCTTTAAGAAAAATGCCCTTAAAAAGCTGCTAGCTCTGTTCAGCTCCTTTATCCCTGAGGGCTGTTTCCCAGCGGGGGTCCCATTCACTAATTCCTTAAATAAATGAAAGTTTGCTGTCCTAAAATTCAGGGTCTTTATCTACTCTTCATTGGGCCAATATCCCTCAAGACTGTGAATTCCACCAGGGCATGATCACTGCAGCCCAGGCTGCCACCAATCTTGTCGTCTCTAATTAGTTCATCCATGTTAGTAAGCAACAGGTCTAGTAATGCCTCTCCTCTGGTTGGGCTCTCTGTCACCTGGATTAAGAAATTATCCTCAATGCACTCCAAGAGTCTCCTGGATTGCTTGCAGCTTGCTGTGCCGCTTTTCCAGGAGATACCAGGCTGACTGGAGTGCCCCAGCAGGATCAGAGCATGTGAGCACAGTGTTTCCTGTAGTCAAAGTAAGGAATGAATGCTTTGTCAACAGGCTCCCCTTGGTCAGGTGGCCTGCAGTAAACACCAACCATGAGGTTTCCTTTGTTAGCTTGGACCCCAATTTTTACTCATAAGCTTTCAACCTGTTCATTGCCGTTTTTCAAAGACAGTTCTGTGCAGTCAATCCATTTTTTTACATGGAGGGCACCCCCCTGCCCCTCTGTCCTTGCCTGTCCCTTCTGAACAGTTTATAGCCATCGATTGTGGAGCTCCAGTTGTGTGATTGGTCCCACCATGTTTCAGTGATAGTGATTTCAGTGATAGTAGCTTTCTAACTGCACAGTGGCTTCCAACTCCTCCTGCTTGTTACCCAACAAATAGTTTTATATCTCTGTACTATCCCTAAAAACTATTGCATGTAATATGTAACAAGTTAAAAGAAATTGAGAAGGGTTCAACAGAAGTTCTTAAATAAACTAAAAAATTCAGAACAGTCTACTTCAAAAGTTCTCGTGCAGTTACAATTTCTGTTCCTCACTCAGGTGCCCTATTTCCCAGGTTAGAAACCCATCAAAAAGAACTTTGCTTTGTCAATTCCCTAGTGATTTAGTGATATACTTCTTTACAACCAGGAGGTGGTAATAGCTGGAGTGTTACAACACGCACAAAAGAGGTGAAGGCTTGTCCTGGGAAACATTGTTGGATGATTTGTAGGGAGCGATCATGACACAATTAAATGGTTAGATTACAAAACAGAATATAGGTAGGGCATTTCATTACAGCAATCTAGCTGAGCATCTGACAAAAATTTTACTCATGATGAGGGAGAACCTTTAAGGAAGAAGAGGGAGAGGATCCCAGACCAACCCAAAGCTAAGTGCTGGTGGCTGAGACCAACTTTGGGTAGCATATTAGGTTTTGGTGGGCTTATACCCATCATGAATGCATGGTGTCACATGGGATGAGCGCCAGCCAGAAGCTGGGAGGGGGAGCAAGGAGTTGACCTGGAAAAGGTGCATGGTGGTCATTAGAGCCATAGTAACCTGATACTGTTCATCTCAGGTTTTTGAAAGTGATCAGTGCCTTTCAGTGGATGGTCTAAGTACCTTAAGTACCTATGTTTCAGCGAGCATTTTCAGAAGGTCTGCTCTGTTCTATGGTATTTTCCAGTTGCCCACCATATACTGCAGTATCCAAAGTCACTCATCACCTCAAAGTCTTGTCTGTGGGCAACAGGCATTTTCTGAATTACTCTAAAATCCGTCTGAGTCACTAATGAGTTCAGATAAATTTTTTACCACTGTGTTTATTTAAAGCCAATCACTGTTACATTTCCCGGAGGAAAACACTGCCAGCACCGTCAGCAAGCAATACATTGATTTTAAATCAGCAAGACTGCCATTGATCTTAGCAGCTATTTATTGCACATGTTTCCAGCAGCCACTTTCTAATGGAATTTTAACAATTCAGTAGGGTCACTTGAAGGTCTCAAGGAAACAAGAGAAAATTTTGTCTCTTGCAGGAAATGCATCCCTAAGACAGGGCCTTCACTCGTAATCATAAGACAGTCAGAGTGGTGCACTTCTCGAGTTTTGGTGAATCCTAATGATTAATTTTCAAGAGTTCTTTTATTCAGCAATATATACACAGTTTCACCTCTGTTTTATTAAATCCCTGAGCTGCTGGTTGCTGGAGGCTGGGAATATACAAAGCAAATATGTCTAGCCTCTTGGCCTCTTCTAGGGCTCTCCAGTGGTTAGCTGTTGTCAGGCTTAGAATAGACGAACCCTTAGTCTGGTGCACTACATCTACCCCTACATTAGAAATATTGTTATCAGAACTGGTCTAAATATGCTTCTCTTTCTGCTTTCTTTCTTATAGAATATGGCCTTTTTCATTTGAGTTAAATTCTTGCACAAGAAGGACATTTTTTTGTTTAGGTATACCATTTACAGTGGTTTAACAGGAAATAACATGCAAAACATTCTTCTCTGACAAAAACTACATTTGTTACTAATCTCACTTTGTTTTCTTGCGTCTGCTATCAGCTCCAAAAGTGTCGCACAGATATGTGGGTTAGAATAGGAGGAGTAGGAAGGGAATAATGATTGTAAAATATTTAAGAAAAATGTTAGTTTATCATAAAACTGAAAGGGATTGGGGTTTGGGGCTGGAGGAAGTAGCTGGTGTATGCTTTGAGTCAAGCTGATACCTTGCCTTTTGTGCCAGAAGAGCCTTGGACGGCTCCATGCCACAGCTCCTTTCTGTTTTGAAATCACTACATGCACAGCAGTACCTGTTGGGGCCATTACGTCCCTGTGCCCCTTGGGCAGGTGTCGTTGTCACCATCCTGTTGGGTCTGTTGAAAAGCAGGGTGCACACAGAATGGCTCCACAGGCCACAGAGACCCTCACTGATGTCCGTGGCATCAGGTATTCCTGAGAAAAGACATAAGTGCCAGAGCTACTGAAAGGTTTCCTGAGACTTGTACAAATAGCACAACCCCACTTTTCTCTACCTCTTACACATGCGTAATGCTCATTACCTAAAAGCTACAAGTAACATAAGCACTTGACAGGTACCTGTAATTTTAGCTGAGACTTGACCTGTAAGAGTGCTGTAGTTGTACTTCTTTGCATACTACAGACTGCAACATAATCCAGTGGATAATGAAGGATGAGGGCAAATGAGCACTTTGAATAAGTGGCAGTGTCCGTCACTTGCAAACCTTCACCGCCTGGCATTGCGCCAAACCTGGCAGATGTTCTGAGCCACTCTGGCATGCTTCTTATA